TTTTCTTTTCTGAGATGGAGTCTCGCTCTGTTGCCCAGGCTGGAGTGCAGTGGTGTGATCTCGGCTCACTGCAACTCCACCTCCCAGGTTCAAGTGATTCTCCTGCCTCAGCCTCCCAAGCAGCTGCGATTATAGGCACCCGCCACTATGCCCAGCTAATTTGTATTTTAGTAGAGATGGGGTTTCATCATGTTGGCCAGGCTGGTCTCAAACTCCTGAGGTCAGGTGAGCCACCCATCTTGGCTTCCCAAAGTGCTGGGATTACAGGCGTGAGCCACCATAGTAGACATTTAATAGATATAATTAAATTTATTTAGCCTACAGATTCAGTCTATAGATATAGTTAGGAAATGCCCCTTTACTGGGTGACATACACTTCTATATACATTTATTGGGGCATACTATTATTGCATATCTGGTGGTTTACCCCTAGGTGGAATTCAATGCTTCTCTGCCACCTCCAAGGAGCAATAATATATGGCTAAGACAAAATGGATTCCTTGGAGACAAATTAGGATCAAGATGCTAAGCGGTAGACCTTTCACTGTGGACAAGCAGCAGGGTTGAATTTTCAAGCATCAGTGTAGTATTGTGTCTTTTATTTATTCCATGTCCTCGGTTTGGCTCCATGTGACTGCCAGTGTGATAAAAGAGGCCCAAAGCTACTTGGAGATCCTAACTTCCTTGGCTTATTTCTCTTTTTGAGTGCTCCTGTTGATCTGGTCTAGCTTGCCAGGGAGGAGTCTAAGAGAAGGAAGGTCATCTAGGCCTGTCTTGATTATACAAGAGTTTTCTCTAAGCTCTGTAAAATCCATCTCAGCTTACTAAATCTAAGGTTCCATAGAGGGCTTTTGGACCCTGTAGCAACTTTAAAACATGGCACCAAAATTCTCTGACACTCCTCTTATTGAGAAGTAGGGCTTGTGTACCCTCTCCTTGAATCTGGGCTGTGTGTGTGGTTGACTGAAAGAATATGGTGAAAGAAGAGGTGCTGTGGCAGTTTCTAAACCCAGGTTTTAAAAACTGGCAGTTTCTCCTCCCCATCTCCTGGAATGTTTACTCTTGAAGAGTAACATTCAGCCATCATGCTGTAAAAAGAAACCTAAGCAACTAGTGGTAAACCCCATGGTCTTTAGGGAAAGAGGGTTTCCACAATGTTAGGGGGAGCCAAGTAAAATTTAAATAGTGTATTTTCCAGCTTCCCGTCTCTACACCAAAATTAAGTATTGACACTCACAAGAGGAAAAAAAAATATCCTCTGTTAGCCATGTGAATGAGCCTTCTTGGATATGGATTCTCCAGTCCTCAGTTGAGCTGCCCCAGCTGATGCCATGTGGGATGAAGATGGCCCAGCCCAATTTTCAGGTCATAAGGAAAATAAATGTTTCTTGTTTTGGCCGGGCACTGTGGCTCACGCCTGTAATCCCAGCACTTGGGAGGCTGAGGCAGGCGGATTGCTTGAGGTCAGGAGTTTGAGACCAGCCTGGCCAACATGGTGAAACCCCGTCTCTATTAAAATTACAAAAATAAGACAGGCATGGTGGCAGGTGCCTGTAATCCCAGCTACCCAGGAGGCTGAGGCAGGAGAATTGCTTGAACCTGGGAGGTGGAAGTTGCACTGAGCTGAGATTGTGCCACTGCAATGCCAGCCCAGGAGACAGAGCAAGACTCCGTCTCAGTAACAACAAAACAACAACAAAAAGGCAGGGCTTGGTGGCTCATGCCTGTAATCGCAGCACTTTGCGAGGCCAAGGCAGGCGGATGACCTGAGGTCGGGAGTTTGAGACCAGTCTGATTAACATGAAGAAACCCTGTCTCTACTAAAAATACGAAAAAATTAGCCAGGAGTGGTGGTGTATGCCTGTAATCCCAGCTACTTGGGAGGCTAAGGCAAGAGAATTGCTTGAACCCAGAAGGCAGAGGTTGTGGTAAGCCGAGATTGTGCCATTGCACTCCAGCCTGGGCAACAAGAGTGAAAGTGTCTCAAAACAAACAAATAAACCAACAAAAGAATGTTTCTTGTTTTAAGCCATTGTTTTGGGAATGGCTGTTTTGTAGCAACAGATAACCGGAACAAACTCAAAGGGCCAACTAGTCATAAAGTGGTTTTTTTTTTTTTTTTTTTTTGGTTTTTTTAGATGGAGTTTTGCTCTGTAGCTCAGACTAGAGTGCAGTGGCGCAATCTTGGCTCACTGCAAGCTCTGCCTCCCGAGTTCACACCATTCTCCTGCCTCAGCCTCCTGAGTAGCTGGGACTACAGGCACGTGCCACCACGCCCGGCTAATTTTTTTTGTATTTTCAGTAGAGATGGGGTTTCACCGTGTTAGCCAGGATGGTCTTTATCTCTGGACCTCGTGATCCACCCACTTCAGCCTCCCAAAATGCTGAGATCACAGGTGTGAACCACCTCGCCCAGCCCATAAAGTGTTTTTTTGCCTCACCTTGTCATTCCTGGAAATGATTCCCTGGAAAACCCTTGGCAGGGATGGGTGTCTGGGTTTCAGTTTTGAGAAATCTTTCCACATTAATATTTTCGTTAGTTGCCTAACATAACTGGCAGAAGGAGACAGGCAAGGAACAGGACATTAAGTACCCAACCACCTGTGGTCATAATTATCCAGAAAGATTTTTTTCTCTGTGAAAAAAAATCACTACATATTGCTTTAAGTAGGCATACAAGGAAGTTTCAGACCCAAACCCCTGTGTGGAATCCATAGTTCTGGTGTTCCGTCATGGAAACAACAAAGATTGCCCTTTTGTTTCTATCCTAAGGCTTTCACTAAAAGTATGCCAAGTGTGGTGTCTCACAGACACCATATCCTTAAGATCTTTTAACTCTAACTGTGTGAACAAAGGAAAAGAAGGCACATTTGTTTTGATATGGCTTTTTTCATACTCCTGCTACTCATTCCCAATATGACCAGTTGTCCTTGTTCTTGGCTGCCCATGTCCTAGCTCCTCCTCTCCAGAAGCTGAAGGGTTTGGAGCCTTCTTGTTTTTTTTGAGACAGCGTCTCGCTCTGTCACCACGCTGGAGTGCAGTGGTGCGATCTCAGCTCACTGCAACCTCCGCCTCCCGGTCTCGGCTCACTGCAACCTCCGCCTCCTGGGTTCAAGCGATTCTCCTGCCTCGGCCCCCCAAGTAGCTGGGATTACAGGCGCACACCACCACACCCAGCTAATTTTGTATTTTTAGTAGAAATGGGGTTTCACCATGTTAACCAGGCTGGTTTCGAACTTCCAACCTCAGGTGATCTGCCCGCCTCGGCCTCCCAAAGTGCTGGAATTACAGGCATGAGCCACAGCGCCCGGCCATGTTTTTTTAACGTGAAAATTCACATATCTAAACGTGGGTCCCTGTTTTTGTATAGCCTTCAAGCTCAAAATAATTTTCACATTTTAAAATGGATTTTAAAAATAAAAGAAATAATATTTTGGGACACATGCAAATTATATAAATTCAAATTTCAGTATCCATAGAAAAATGTTTTTGTTTTGAGACAGGGTCTGGCTCTGTTGCCCAGGCTAGAATGCAGTAGCACGATCTTGGCTCACTGGAGTTTGCACCTCCTGGGCTCAAGGGCTCCTCCCACCTCAGCCTCCACCTCCTGGGCTCAAGAGATCCTCCCACCTCATCCTCCACCTCCTGGGCTCAAGGGATCCCCCATCTCAGTCTCCCATCTCAGCCTTCCGAGCAGCTGGGACTACAGGTGCACACCACCACCTGTAGTGTAGTGTAGGCCTGGTTGGGCACGGTGGCTCATGCCTGTAATCCCAGCACTTAGGGAGGCTGAGGCAGGAGGATCGCTTGAGCCCAGGAGTACAAGACAAGCCTGGACAACATGGTAAAACCCCGTCTCTACTAAAAATACAAAAATTAACCAGGTGTGGTGGCAGGTGCCTGTAATCCTAGCTACTTGGGAGGCTGAGGCAGAAGAATCACTTGAACCTGGGAGGTGGAGGTTGCAGTGAGCCAAGATCACAGTACTGCACTCCAGCTTGGGCAACAGAGTGAGACTCTCCATCCCAAAAAAAAAAATATTTTTTTCCAGCTGTGATAATCCAAAATATCCCATAAATATCCCATTTTCCTTTCTATGGTAGGAAGGAAAAGGTAGAAGTTGTGGAGAGGAAACAGGTAAAAATTAAAGGGAGAACGGAAAAGAAGGGCAAACAAAGGCAAGTTGGTGAGGAGAAGGACAGGAAAAGAGACAGGGAGAAGGGAGGGACTTATAAATGGGAAAAGAAGGGCAGGAAGGATGGGAATAAGTAAAAACAACAACAACAAAAAGAAAGCAAGGAGAGACAGTGGAGATGGGGAAGAGTCAGAAACCACTGAGTGAGCTAAGAAAGGAGCACCAAAAGAAAAAGGAGAATGGGGGTGCTCAGACAGAGGGCTATACCACCATCTTCCTCTCCTGTTTGCTTTCATTTACTAACATCCTGGTCACTTTGCTCTCAATAGCTTAGTTCCTTTTCCATAGTCTCTGTTCACTCCAGTACTATCTGACTTGAATTTGTACCTGTACGACAAATCTAATACCCTGGACTCTTAGTTCTATAAACAGGGCATGCATTCTGCCTCAGCCTTCCATTCCCACGGTCTCACCCTGGACCTTGGCATCATCAGAAACTCACAAGTTGGGACATTTCAATTCCAAATATCCCACTCAGACCAGCAGCATCTATACTGCCAGCGTACTTGCTCATATAACCCACCGCAACCTTTCTTGGGTCAATGCTCTAAGACCTTGGTCCCTTTCCCCACCACCCTCCAACCCCTCCACTACCAGGCTTCATGTGCCATTATTTGCTTTCCTGTACGGTTTTGGTTCTACAGACAGCATCATAAACATTATCTTGCAAACACTCTCATCACTTGGCCCTCTCTCTCTGTTGTACTTGCCAGGAAAAACCCCAACCCTCAATAAATGCAACAAGCTGCCTTCTCTGCCTGTGCCTGAAATGGCCAAACATCTTCAATTATTTTAAATCCATTACCTCAAATATCAAATGAGCTCTTAACGTTGGCCAGAAGGCCTTTTAAAGGCCTGTATTCACCAAGGCTCAGTTCTTGAACTTCTCCTTTTCTTCTCCCTTAAGATTTTTCCCTAATGAAGGGAGCAGGCGAACGGAGTTAAAGGGCTTCCACTGCAGTTAGAATACAGCCCAAATTCCTTTCCATAACCAAAAGTCCTGATCTGCCACCGACCTCACTTTCTCAACTTTTCACCTTCCATTCTCCCCTCATTTAACTCAGCCCTGGTCTCACTGTCACTGGCCTTTTTTCTTTTTCTTTTTTTGAAGCAGTCTCACTGTCACCTAGTGCAGTGGTGCGATCACAGGCACGGGTCACGGAGTCCGGCTTTTAAATTTTTGGTCGAGACGGGGGTCTCGTCATTTTGTCCAGGCTGGTCTCGAACTCCTGGGCTCAAGCGATCCTTCCTGCCTCAGCCTCCCGACGTGCTGGGATTACAGGAGTGAGCCACCGCGCCCAGCCAGGCCTTCCTTCAGTTGCTCTAACATGCCAAGCCAACTTAGATTTTTTGCACATGCTTTTCTCTGTCGGACACTCTATCCTGGTGTTTGCCTGGTTTCGCTCTTTTCTATCCTTTTGTCTTGGCTTGAATGTCACCTCTTCTGAAGCCTTCTCTGGCGACACTGGCCATCCTATGTCCTACTTGTTATTTCTTCAAAATCGTACTGCCGTTTGTATGTACTGGTGTTTACTCATTCACACCGGTTACCTCCGCGTACCTCACTGGCTGGAATGGAAACTCCTTGCGAGCAGAGACAATGGGTTTTGCTCTCCCGCGGATCACGTCCCAGCCTCCAGGTCAGCACCAGACACTTGGGGGCGCAGGATAAAATATCTGCGGTCAGATAGCGCTAATAACCACCTAACGGGTGGAGGAAAGCTGGCGCGGACTGTAAGAGTCTCTCCGAGACGCAGCCGCTGCGCGAAGCTCCTCCCCTTCCGACCGCGCCGCGGACGCCTGGGCAGCCACGGCGGCGGGGCCGCGGCGGGCGCCGGCTCAGCCCGCCCCTTTCTCCCACCGCCTCCCTGCCCCGCCCCGCGCCTCGCCGGCCGCTGTCAGCTCCCTCAGCGTCCGGCCGAGCAGCTGTGTATGCTGAGCCGCTGCCGCAGCCGACTGCTCCACGTCCTGGGCCTTAGCTTCCTGCTGCAGACCCGCCGGCCGATTCTCTTCTGCCCTCCCCGTCTCATGAAGCCGCTGGTAGTGTTCGTCCTCGGCGGCCCCGGCGCCGGCAAGGGGACCCAGTGCGCCCGCATCGTCGAGGTGAGGCTCGGGCAGCCGGCTGGCTCCTTGGGGCTTGACGCGACGCGGGCCGGCCTGTCCCGCCGCCCCTGGTCCGCCCCCCGGAGTCGCCGGGCCGCAGACTACGAGTCCCGGCGGCCACCGCGCCGCCCGCGTGGCGGTGGCCGAGGGCCGCCGGCGCGCGGCATGCCGGGACTCGTAGTCCGCGCCCGCTCGCCTTGGGGGGCACCGTTTGGGGTCGCTTTGTTCCTGCGCCCCTTCTTTTCTTACATTTTGGGGACCAGATTCGTCTCTAGAGTGGACTGGGAGAGGGATCCCGGAGGCCAACCTTTGGGGGTCCCCAAGCGCGCAGAGGTTAGCACGTAGCTGATCGTGTGGTGGGTGAAGGCAGCAGGAGCGCGGATTTGGGTTAGAGGCCGTGTGCGCCCGCAGTTGCCGGAAGGGGAGACCTATTTTTCTTCTCCGTGCCTTCCCTCTGGTTCTCTAAACTCCGCACTGTCACCTAACCTGTCTTTACCGTAGAAAGGAGCCCCGTGGGGCGGGGTGTTATTTTAGGCGTGCTGTGGGCTGCGGCTGGCGCTCTCGAGCCCAGTCCCCGCAAGCTTTAGGGCGGGGCCAGCCCTGAGGCTCGGCCCGGGACGGGGATGGGGAAAGCCGGGAGTGCAGTTCTGAGATCAAGCTTAAACCTTTGGCCCTGCTGCCAGCTCACGCTCGGCCCTCGGTCACTTCCTCTCTCCCAGCCTCATTTAGCCCTTATAATACAGTAAAAAGAGTCTCTGAACCCAGATTTTCTCAGGATATAAAACATCTCCCAACTGTAAAATCCTGTTACTTTTTTTCCTTTTGCTTTAAGACAGGTTACCAGTTCAATTCTTTTAACAATTTTTGGGCCTGATGTATGGTTGGTTAGCTGCACTGACACTGTGAAAAATAAAGGCTTCATGGACAATCTGGGGAATGCTTGGGAAAGAAGGAAAACAAGATATCTAGAAACAGAAGAGGCGACCATTGGTGGCCTCTAGTGAAATCGCCCTGAAACTCTGTAACCAACAAAAGTTTTTTTGACCTAGAACTTGTAATTTTCTCCTCTTCTAGGATATGGCCAATATTAGCATTGGGCTTTTGCTTCTCTCCTTATATGTTCATAACAAGCAACCTGTATTTTGTTCCCTAAATAGCATCCAGAGAAGGTTAGATGAGTTCAACAAGTCATTATGTGTTGTACAGATGTATTTATAAATATTGATCATTTTGCCGGGCGCGGTGACTCACTCCTGTAGTTCCAGCACTTTGGGAGGCCGAGGCTGGCGGATCACGAGGTCAGGAGTTCGAGACCAGCCTGGCTAACATGGCGAAACCTCATCTCTACTAAAAATACAAAAATTAGCCTGGCGTGGTGGCGGGCGCGTGTAATCCCAGCTACTCCTTAGACTGAGGCAGGAGAATCGCTTGAAACTGGAAGGTGGAGGTTGCAGTAAGCAGAGATCACGCCACTGAACTCCAATCTGGGCGACAAAGCGAAACTCCGTCTCAAAAAAAAAAAAAAAAAAAATTGATCATTTTTAGGTGTCAAAGTGGAACTAGTCCAACTAAAAAAATACGTGACATTTACATCCTCTTTAAAAAAATTTTTTTTGTTGGTTCTCTTTACTTTCTTTTGTTGTTTTTTCTGTTTTGTTATGTTTTTGTTTTTGAGACAGTCTCACCCTGTCACCAGGCTGGAGTGCAGTAGTGAGATCTCGGCTCACTGCAACCTCCGCCTCCCAGGTTCAAGCGATTTTCCTGCCTCAGCCTCCTAAGTAGCTGGGATTCCAGGCACAGGCTACCATGCCCTGCTAATATTTTTTTGCATTTTTAGTAGAGACAAGGTTTCACCATGTTGGTCAGGCTGGTCTCGAACTCCTGACCTCAGGTGATCCTCCCACCTCGGTCTCCCAAAGTGCTGGGATTACAGGCTTGAGCCACCATGCCCGGCCTTCTCAGTTGTCTTTTAAAAATTAAAGAGCCTGGCCACTGCACTCCAGCCTGGGTGACAGAGCGAGACTCCGTCTTAGAAATAAATAAATAAATGAAGTGAAAAATGGGAGTGATTTCAAATTTTTGTTTAATATATGTGATCTCTCTTAAATAGCATGATAGGGGAAGGGGCAAAGACTTTAGCATCAACGAGATATGGATTCAAACCCTGAGTCTGCCATTTACTGTTTCTCTAGGCCCAGAGATGTTGTTACCTTTAGTTTGAGTTCTTCTGTGAAAAGGGAAAAAATAGAAATGCCTATTTTGTGTGGTATTTGTGAATATTAAATGAGGTAAAATATTTGGCACACAGAGACAGATGCAAATATTTTTTTTTCTCCATTAAACTTCTGATCTTATTACCTCCACTTTAAACTTCCTGATCTTATTATATTGGTCATTTTTATTGGTGGGTTTTGTTGTTGTTGTTTGTTTTGAGATCGAGTCTCTCTCTGTCACCCAGGCTGGAGTGCGGTGGCGCCATCTTGACCCACTCCAACCTCTGCCTCCTGGGCTCAAGCCATCCTCTCACCTCAGTCTCCCGAGTAGCTGGGATGACAGGTGTGCACCACCACTCTCTGCTAACTTTTTTTTTTAGGGTTTTGTAGAAACGAGGTCTCACTATATTGCCCAGGCCGGTCTCGAAGTCCCGGACTCAAGGGATCCTACTGCCTTGGCTTCCAAAGTGTTGGCATTATAGGCATGAGCCACTATGCCTGGACTGGTTGTTTTTTATTGCAAAGTAGTATTTCTCTTTTAAATTACTTTATGCATGTTATATTTGAATGCATTTAAATACAGTATGCTATTTGTGAATCATAGTATGCCTTTAAAATGTCTATACCTAAATGAGTAATACTCATACTACTACACCGGTTAAAAAAATAATCTACACATTCTGGGCCAGGCGTGGTGACTCACGCCTGTAATCTCAGCACTTTGGGAGGCTGAGGCAGGCAGATCACGGGGTCAGGAGATCGAGACCATCCTGGCTAACAAGGTGAAACCCCGTCTCTACTGAAAATACAAAAATTAGCCTGGCGTGGTGGGGGGCAGCTGTAGTCCCAGCTATTCGGGAGGCTGAGGCAGAAGAATGACCTGAACCCAGGAGGCGGAGCTTGCAGTGAGCCCAGATCGCACCGCTGCACTCCAGCCTAGGCGAAAGAGTGAGACTCTGTCTCAAAATAATAATAATAATAATAATAATCTATACATTCTACAATTATTCTTTATTCTGTTGGGTAATGGCAAATAATATTTTAAACTTGTTAATTATCAGTTACAAGATTCCATGATGAGATATGTTCTGTAATGTGTTATATTATTAAGATTTCAACAATTATATGACCTTAAACTGTTTTCAACCGTTATCTTCTTTAATGAAAATGTCTTCTCTTGAGTCTAGTTGCCATAAACTTTATTAAGCTGTCAATCAACTAATTCCAAATAGTTTATAATTTAGCAGTTGCTATTCTCTAGCTGGCTAGACAGACACTGGAATATCTATTGTTAGTGAAGTCAGCAGTATGTTGTTTTTTTCTTTGTGAATCTCTTTGTTTTGACTCAATATTTTTTTATTACAGGCAATTATAAACTAAATTCCAAAATAATGCAATTTTTGGAGCTTTTTTCCTGTAGGGAAAAAATTATATAAATCCACGTTAAATTCTCCAATTAATCTGGTCGAAGCTAATGTAGCTCACAGGGCACCTGAAATTGTTACTTTAGTATGTTGATTTCCAACTCAGCCTGCCATAAGTACATATTTGAGTCCTAGCTACAGAATCTTAGGATATTCAGTTAACAGAAAGAGAAGAAAAAGAGAAAACCAAAAACCCTTAGAATATCTTGCTCTCTAAGGCACTGAAATTAGTGAAGTGGTTGTTGTTAGAGGGAATCTGGTATTTTTTCTCCGGAGGTGAATTCTGCTCTGCAGATTGCTCCTGGAGACCTAGAGAAGGTAAAGGCAAGTCTGATACAGTATCTTCTGAAAGTGTTCTGTACTGGGAAGGAAAGATTGGAGGGAGGTTTTGGGATTGATTTTGCACATTTATTTGTACTGATATTTTTCAGTTTTGTCTGCCTGCCTGCCTGCCTGCCTGCCTTCCTTCCTTCCTTCCTTCCTTCCTTCCTTCCTTCCTTCCTTCCCTCCCTCCCTCCCTCCCTCCCGTTCTTTTTCTTAACCAAATACCCAGACTTGAAGGAGAATTTATTTTTTAATTGTTTGTAAATCTGTATCCTCTAATACCTAATTTGTTTTTGAAAATGAGCTATTTTCTAAATCAGTGTGATACTTACAGTTAAGTTTCCAGAGTGGAATTATTGTGCAGTAGTTTATTTATAAAATCATGATGGGAATACTGTGTTATTCTTGAATTTTTAAAATTAAGCTTTATTTATATTTGTTGTTTTGGCCCAAATGAAATTATGTCAATGTAACCTAAATTTATATTTGAAAATAACCACAATTTTACGTGCATTAGTTGGAAGAAATATTTAAACCTCTCTTTTAAAGATTGTGAAC